CAGCCCTGTGGGATGGTTCTATTACCATTGACCCAACTTCACAGCTGGAAGGAGGAGGCAGTCAAATAATTTGTCCAAGGTCACACAGCCAAAAGGCAGAGGGAGTGTGGGAACGTCATCTATAATCCAATGTGATATTTCCAGTCAAGGTTATGCAGAGTGCTTTGGTGGTGGAGGGGGGCAGGAAGAGATGTATCTTCTGGAGTGAAGGGGCATAAAGGGACCACGACTAGGACTACCCTGCTGAACAGCTGCTACTCCCAGACTCTGGGGCTGCTCTCGGGTCTGCAAAAAGGGCTCAGTTCAACAGTGTCTTCCAGTGCCTGGTCTTCCTGCCCACCATGCCCTTTGTACTGCCAGGCCTCTGGTTCTTTCCCACCCATCAGCAAGGGGCTAGGGACCTAGAGCTCAGCCCCCTTCAGCTAACAGGCAGGAAGCAGGGCTGTGTGCAGGGCCAGGTGTGCTCTTGGATGGGTGGTAATGCTGCTGGGGACCATGTGGGCAGGATATCCCCTAGCTACCAATATCTGGCAGTCTGCTGCCCACCCGCCCCCTATAGTTGCCAGGAGGCCCTGATGCTGAGATCCTCCCTGACCCTTCAAGGGACCACTTGTTCCTGTTTGTGGGATCTGAACTTTGGACAACAGGGTTTCTCAAAGAGGGGCTCCTCTAGACTTCATGGCCCAAGGGTGGGGAGCAGTTTCCCTTCAAAGAACTTGGCCTTGGGACCCTGCTACAGGGAGAGAAAATCATGATGCCCGTGTGTGTATCTTATAGTTTTAATTTTTTTTTTTAATGTGGTAAAATCTCTATATAAAACCCTAATATGCAAATAGACCGAACGGTGGAACAACCGAACATGGGTCACTATGACGTGTGCTGACCACCACGGGTACGTGTGGAACATGGTGGGCGTCAGCTACTGCAAATGGTGAAGAAGGTGAGTGAGGGTGCCAGATCAAGGCGGGGTGCTGGTTGCTGTCATCAGGGTGAACCTCTGGTGGTTACTGAAAGTTCCTTGCTCCTGTGCCATGGTCCTGCCAGGAGCTTGCACCTGCTGCTGGGGCTGGCCCCCCTTGCACCCACTGCCAGTACCCAGCGCTGATTGCTCAGTGCCGTCAGAGGGTGCGAGTGGTGACTGCCGGCCCCAGTCACCCCTGAGGGCTTCTCCACCTCCCCCTGCTCCGAGGGGCTCTCAGGGCAGCAGCTATTCTGCGTCTGAGTATGCACCTAAAATATTTGAAAGAAAGAACGTGATCAGATATTTGCACACCCACTAACAGCGCCAGCCCCAATTGTTCGGAGCTATGAGCATGTGGGAGCAGTGGTGGGGGGTGCAGGGCTGCCAGCAGACAGGGGACTGGGGCAGTTGCGGGAGGGGCTGAGTGGGGGCGTGGAGGATGGCCCAAGACCCCCTGCTGTGCCCACCACAGCCTCACAGCCCACAGTTCCTTTCAAGGTGCACAAGTTCATGCACAGGGCCCCTACTATATGATAAAATTTTATCATTTTAACCATGTGTAAGTGCACAGTTCAATGGTGTTAAATCCACCAATAATGTACTACTACCACCATCACCATCTCCAGAACTTTTTCATCCTGTAAAACTGAAACTCTCCCCATTAAACACTCACTCTCCCTCCCCAGACACCGGAATCTACCCTTCTACTCTCGGATTCTGACAAGTCTAAGCACCTCATATCTTTGGAATTAGCAGAATTTGTCTTTTTTGTGACTGACTTATTCCATTCGGCATGTCAAGGTCAATCCATATGCATGTGTCACAATTCTCTTCCTTTTTTATGCTGAAAACATTCAACTTTAAGTACTTATCACATTTTGTTTATCCACTCATCTGTTGATGGGCACTTGGTTGGCTTCCATATTTTAGCTACTGTGAATAATGCTGCTGTGAACGTGGGTGTACCAAATATCTGTTCACGTCCTTGCTTTCAATTATTTTAGGTGCATACTCAGACGCAGAATAGCCCATCATATGGTAATTCTGTCTTTTTAAAGGAACCTCCATGTTTCTTTTCAGCTGCACCATTTTATTCCAACCAATGTACCAGGGTTCTGATTTCTCCACATCCTAATACTTCCTGTGCGTTTTTTTAAAAAAATATATTTTTATTGACTTTAGGGAGGAAGGAAGAGGGAGATAGAAACATCAATGATGAGAATCATTTATCAGCCTGCAACCCAGGCATATGTCCTGACCAGGAATTGAATTGTGGCCTCCTGGTTCATAGGTCAACACTCAACCACTGAGCCATGCCAGCTGGGCTACTTCCGTTTTTTTATTTTGTTATTCATACTTGAGGATATATGTTCCACTGATTTTCAGTGTGGAAGGAAAGGAGATATGGAGGGAGAGAAACATCAATGTGAGAGAGACGCATCAAATGAGTGCTTCCCACATGCATCCTGACTGGGCCAGGATTGAACCTGCAACTGAGATACATGCCTTTCACAAGGAATCAAACCTGTGATCCTCTGTACTGGGCTGATGCTCTGACCACTGAGCCACACAGACAGGGCTTATATTATTTATAGTATCCATCCTTTTTTATTTTATTTTAAAATATATTTTACCGAATTTTTTTTTTTTTTACAGAGAGGGACAGAGAGAAACATCAATCAGCTGCCTCTTGCACACCCCCTACTGGGGATGTATACTCAACCAAGATACATGCCCTTGATCGGAATTGAACTTGGGGCCTTTCAGTCTGCAGGCTGACGCTCTATCCACTGAGTCAAACTGATTTCAGCAGAATATATATATATATATATATATATATATATATATAAATATATAAATATATAAATATATAATATATATATATTTTTTAAGAGAGGGAGATAGAAACATCCATGATGAGAATCACGGATCGGCTGCCTCCTGCAAGTTCCCCACTGGGAATTGAGCCCACAACCTGGGCATGTGCCCTTGACTGGAATCAAACCTGGGAAACTTTGTTTGTAGGCCGAGGCTTCATCTACTGAGCCAAACCGAGGCAGTGGCCGGCAAACCGCGGATCTTGAGCCACATGCTACCGACACCCACTTCTAACACCACTTCTTCAAAATAGACTTGCCCAGGCGGAAAACCGACTTCTGTGCATGGGCCAAAAAGTTTCAGTTGTACTGTACATGCACGCCTGCATGTGGTATTGTGTGGAAGAACCACACTCAAGGGGCCAAAGAGCAGCATGTGGCTCGCGAGCCGAGGTTTGCCAACTACTGAGCTAGGGCTATAGCATCCATTCTAACAAGTGTGAGGTGGTGTAAAATAGCTGTGACTCGATGGTTAGTGGTATTGAGCATCTTTAAGTGTACTCATTGGTCAGTTTCTCTCTTGTGAAATGCCTATTCAAGCCCTTTGCCCATTTTTTAATCATTTTTCTGTTTAGTTTTAGGACTTCTCTATATATTCTGCTTACTAATCCCTTATCAAATGTGTGCCAATATTTTATCTCATTCTGTGGGTTGCCTTTTTACTCTGATGATAGTTTTGGTGCACAAATTAAAAAAATATCATCAAGTATGTCTTTTTCTTGTTGCTGCTTGGGCCTTTGGTGACCTACCTAAGTCACTTCCAAGTCAGTGTCATAAAGTTTGTGCCTTAGTTTTCTTATAAGAGATTAAGGTCTTACATTTAGGTCTTTGATCCATTTTGAGTCACTTTATATATGGTGTGAGGTAAGGGTCAGTTTCCTCCTGCATGTGGATGTGCAGGTTTCCCAACACCGTGTGTTGACACCCTTGTCAAAGATTATTTGACCGTATATATGCGGGCTTTCTGGGCTCTCTATTCTGCTGAATACTCAAGGGAGACCTTCTGCAGACCTCTCTGCCACTCTGGTACTCAAGCTGCCTGTCTCCTGCCTTCCAGCTAGAGTCCAGCTGGGCTCACCCACACAGACACAGGCAGGCAGGCCAGATCAGATGCACAAACCCCCAACCACACACATAAATCATGTCATTATGTCTGCGCACATGCCCAGGTGCACAGCACTCACCTCTCAGAATCTACATGAGACCTGCTTAGAACTCACTCCTGCTGCCCAGTGGAAGCAACAGCAGACACACTGCCCACACAAACACTGGTTTCCACATGCCAAATCCCCCCGGAGCTGGAAAGCTGGCAGCCACTCACACTCGGCACAGAGGCCAGGCTGACCAGCATCGTTCACACATTACCCCACAGGCGCAAGCAGCCGAGGGTGAGAGCCCGCACCGGCACCAGAGCGCCGGGTGGAGCGCCGATGTGGGGGCTGACCTGGCGGATGAGGGGCATTTCCTGGCTCAGCCTAGACAGCCCCGTGTGTGTTTGCGTGGGGCGGCCCGCGTCACAAGCCCGTTCTGAAGGGGTCTTGCTTCACCCGAGGCCATGTTTTAGCTGGCTGCCCTGCACACGTGTGCAGTTTTGGGTTTTTCTACTTTCTCTGTTAATAGGTCTCGGCACCAGGCCTGGGGGGCCGGAGCGGGTGGTGGGCGGGGGAGGCGGGCCGGGGAGCGGTCGGGTGGTGCAGGCAAGGGCTGTGGGTTTCACCCAGCGCCTGCCGCTCGGGCCTCGTTCTCCGAGGAGTTGGGCTCTAGGCCCCAGGACTGCGTCCCACCCGCGGAGGACCCGGCACCAGCCGCGCTGCTCCGTCCCCGTTCACGATTGGTCTCGTCACCCAGGACAGACACCTCAGGAGGGTTCTCACTCGGCTGTTTCCGCGGGGTTCGTTCTGGCAGCCGATGGACACCCCCGGGCCGCCCGATAGCACCGCGCGCCGCCCTCGCCGAAGCACGGGTCTCCTGCCCGCCAGGCGTGGCGACACCGCGGCCCGCCGGCACCTCAGGGCCGCCCAGCCCCGGCCACCCACTCGCCGCCCGAGGCCCCGCCGCGCCCCGCCCCAAACGGAAGTGCGCCAGTGGGGGCCCGGCCAGGCTCTGCGCAGACTCGCGGGCGCGCCGGGACCCGGAAACACTCGCCGAGGCCCCGCCCCTGACCCCGCCCCGCCCGTCGTAGTGCTGCCGGGGAACGTAACGCGCTCTTTCTGCCGACGCGCTCGTGGTGGTGGCAGCAGGTAGGCCGCGTGGCTCACTGCCTGATTCCGCGCCGGGATTCCGGGCTGGGGCGGCGTGAGGCCAAGGCGCGGAGGTTGGGGTCCGGGTGCGCGGGGTTTGAGGTGAGGCCGCGGCGTGGGGAGCGGGGAGCGGGGTGAGGCGTGAGGCCACGGCGCGGGGTCCGGGCTCACCGACCCGGCTTGTCCTCATGGCACCGCGCGGGGTCTCGTAGGTGAACTCTCAACATGCAGAACGACGCCGGCGAGTTCGTGGACCTGTACGTGCCGCGGAAATGGTGAGCGCCACAGCATTTAATTTTACTTTAAAGCACAAATACGAACACTTGTGACTTCCCATTCACTACGCTCTCCCCGCAGCTCCGCCAGCAACCGCATCATCGGCGCCAAGGACCACGCGTCCATCCAGATGAACGTGGCCGAGGTGAGCCTGGGCGCTAGGGCTTGGATGAGGTCCATCGCAGACTAGAGCGGGGTCGGCGTGAGGCCGTGGCGCTGGCCCGGCCCCGAGGTTGATGATCCCCAGGCCCCGGGTTTAGAGGTAAAGGAGCTCGAGTGCCCGTCTGATCCTCATTCTCCATCAACAGGTTGACAAGGTGACAGGCAGGTTCAACGGCCAGTTTAAAACCTATGCTATCTGCGGGGCTATCCGGAGGATGGTGAGTGTCCTGAACGTGGCTCATCTGTGGGCTTTTGGGGGGTAATGGAGAATGTGTCTTGCACTGTTTCTCAGGTCTGACTATTTGTTGCCTATGGGACTGGGTTGCACTGGTTGCCTGCCTGTCCCTGGGGGTGGTGGGGTGAGGCGTGAAAAGGATGCTCAAAGGCCCTAAGCAGGACCACCCTTTTACCTTGGAACTTCCCAGTTATCACACTCCCATCTCCAAGGCCTTTTTCTGTCCAGTGAGGTCTGAGTGGTGAGACTGGGGGAGAGGTACCGTTAGGGCTGGGTGGTACCTGGTGGATCTGCCAGCTCAGGGTAGCAGGGGACATTGTTCATAGTTCCAATGTGCTTTTTCTCAGGGTGAGTCAGATGACTCCATTCTCCGACTGGCCAAGGCCGATGGCATCGTCTCAAAGTAAGCTGTCTCACAGTCGAGTTTGGGGACAGGCTGGGACTTTCCGGAGACGAGGCTTTAATGTTGTTTTTCCTTTTGTTTAGGAACTTCTGACTGAAGAGCATCACTGATGTTTAATTTGTCATAAATAAATAGTGGAAACATCCCCCATGTTGGTTCATTCTGTGCTGGGGGAGGGGTCAGAGCTGACATCCTGCTGTGAGTGGGCGAGGAGGGGTCAGCTCACTAAAAGGAGGCCACTTATATGCTGCAAAACCAAACTTTACTTTAAAGCACAAATACAAACACTTATGACACAACTTGACATTGAGGTCAGATAATCACTTAACACACATTTCAAGTCCACAACTGCTGCTGGGTTCTGAGGGAGAGGAGCTGGGCCCTGGACACCCTCAGGCTGGGGTTTGTTCTAGAGGCTGGGGATGCAGTCTGAGGTTTGGCTTAAATTCTGGCTTTTCTGCAGGGGTTCTCGAGTACCACACAGTGGCAGTTCTATCATTTCTGTAAAGGACACACAGCTGGGAAGGTTACAGATGAGACTGGCAAATTACTAAATCTTACTACATAAATGTGCAAACTTAATGACCATATTTTTCAGCTGGCCTGACGTCTGTGTATAAATTCCCAGAGACAGATCCTTCGAGGCTAAGCTGTAAACCGGGACCTATGTTTTGAGAAAGTCCCTTACAGTGCTTGTAACACGGAAGTGTCCTTGAGATACATGGTGGCAGGATGGGATGCTTTCCATAAGTTGCTGGGCCTAGCACCTTACACCATCCACCTTGGATGCAGGTTGGGTTTAGGGAGCCATCTTGGAGAGGGAGGCGCACTGCAGTCTTACTCTGAGTGGAAGGAACAGGCTTGCAGGCAATAAGTAGACGAGTAGTTGGCCTGCACCTCTTCTGGGGTCTGGGCCGAGTTGCTGGTGGTTGGGTGCTGTGATGAGCAGAACTGGCTATTCTGCAAAAACACCAGCCCGTATGAAGAGAGTACAAGATGGGGGCTGCCCCAGGGTCTAGCACAATAGGAAAGCAGCTTGATCCATGGCCATCTTTCAGGCCAGCCGACTCACCAGTCGGGGTTTTTGGTGGGGCAGTGAGCTGGAGAACTGGACCACGGAATTCGTGCAAAGGACGACAAACCTGGAAAGACAGAGCCCGGGCCTTCGTAGGAGTGAGGATCACCGGCAGTGCGGTCTGAGTGACTGCCCAGACAGCCTTGGGAGAAGAGGGCACTGAGCCCACCTCTTGGGGAGGCGGTGCTGTGGGCTACGAAGTAGTCCGTCTCCTCCCAGCTTGAGCAAGTGTGGTTTCAACCCACAGCTTCACACATTTAACTAATTTGTGTTCCCTTATGAGAAACCTACAGAACAGAATCCCAAGACATAGGCTGTCCTGTCATAATATTGCTTAAGAAGATCAAGAGCCACACTCCAGCAACACAATCATCTGAAGATGTAGAGTGTCACAGGCCAGTGGGGTTTTCTGGGTGAGGTGAAGGGGCAACTTGTGTTTGCAGCGGCCTGCTGGCATAACACTCAGGTACAAGGACTTCACAGTGACATGATGCTTGGGAGATGAGCGGTCCAAGAACAAAACTGATCAAGCCTGGAGTCTGCCCTTTGCTCTGCTTGTGACGCGGGGAGGGGAATGGACAGCAGGCTGGGCAGGGTGTGTTCCACATCCAAAAATTGGAAAGTCAAGGTTAATGCTTCACTGCATTAACTCCAGGGACCTGAATCCACTCAGCAGCATGTGGAACAGTCACCACTGCCAGGCGTCAGTGGCCACAATAGCATGTGGAAGGCGAGGCAGCGCAAAGCAGAAAGATGCCATGACATCGGGATCCAAGGCATAAATCGAGGGTCCTAGTGCCAGGCCAGTGTCAGGCATGTGAAAAAAGGAAAATGACAAACCCCACATTGTATCCACATGAGAATGCCAAATATTCTCAAACACCATGGTGATGTGCTGTGCTTTGGAATGAAAGCATGGCCCCCCAAGGAAGAAAGCGTGCGAAGGCAGGGCCACGTGCCTGAGCTGGGAGGGTGAGGCCATGGGGGCCAGGGCTGCACTTCACTGCCTGGGAACAGCTCCTGGGCTCACAAACGGTGTGCAGAGTGGCATGGGCTGTCCGGGCGGCAGACTAGAACTGCTGTGTGAGGCGTCTGTGATGAGGTAACACCTGGTTCTCAGGAAGATAAAGAGCAAGTTCCAAGGCCACAAGCACTGTGAACTCAAACCCAATTAGATCCCGTCTGTTGAACCGGAACCTTTCTTCTAACTTCTGCATGGAAGAAGAGAGAAGGGTTAAGCCAGGGTCCCTTGCTCTGGTTCCCAAGTCAGCAGGTTTGGGAGTGGTGGCTGGCCTCACTCCAGGTTAGTGGGCAATGACCACCCTCTCTAGGGGTAGTGCCCAGCCAAGTGCTTGGGATGGGGTGGTGGCTGGGGCGTGGCTGGGAGGGGCAGTGGGGTCGGGGAAGGGTTGAGCGCACTCACGTCTATGAGCTGTTTTACTTCATTCTTGCGGAGGTCGCTGCTGATCTTGGCAGCAAGCAGCACACAGGCGCCGGCGCACAGCTTGCGGTTCTGTTTGTTGAGCTTGCCTTGCAGGACAAGCTTCTCGAAGTACACGTAGGCCATGGCCACAGACACAGGCTCCAGGTTGCACTCCTCAGATATGTTGCGCATCTCGCGTTTTAAACTGCAGGGTTAGAGGGAAATCAGGTGCTCTGGGGTGGAGGACCAGCACCCCTCCATGACCCAGGGCCGTTAGCACAGCTCTGTTCCTTCCAGGCGGGCACAGCTCAGCATCAGGGCCCACAGCGTGCTGGGTAAGCAGCGTGCTGGTCTTGGGCCCCACTTGCCCCTTGGCTGAGTCCTACACCTCCCCCCACCCCCCCAATATCCTCTAGGGGCTGCCACAGAGGACAAAGTCCCTACTCTCCTGTGGTAGCAAGAGCATCCTAGAAGCCTGGAGCTGCTGAGGGGGGGGTGTTAGTAGGATTTGGCAGCGCAGGACCCCAGAAGGGGGCAGTGCCCAGGAGATCTGCCTCAGCCAGCAGCTCTAGCACTTGCACACTGAGGCCATAGGCAGGCTGCCTTGGCCTGCGAGTTCCTCCTCTACTGAACAGGGACAATGGTGGTGCCCCCCTCATGGGGTGTCATGGGCACCAGTGAGGAGGGCTGAGTGGGTGGGAGCAGCTGCAAAAAGTAAACAGGCAGCTTGACCAGCAGAGGTGTGCATGTGTATGCGTGTGCATGTGTATGTACATATGCTTTGTGTGTTACTGGCCTGGTCAGAGGGTGGGAGGGGGCATCTGGATCTTCAGGCTCAGGAATCAACGGGAAATGGGAAGACAGGCCTACAGGACCTCATAGGATGACACACAAAAGAAGTGGGTTTTGGGCCACTTGGTTGGTGTGGCTCAGTGGTTGACTGTTCACCCAGGAACCAAGAGGTCACCAGTTCGATGTCCAGTCAGGGCACATGCCAGAGTTGTAGGCTTGATATCCAGTGTGAGGTGTGCAGGAGGCAACAATCGATGTTTCTCTCTCATTGATGTTTCTCTCTCTCCCTCTAAAAAATTCAATAAAAACACTAAAAAAAATGAAGAAGGTTTTGGGGATGTCCTTGGCCCTCCCTACCTCCTAATTTTGCTCAGTGTTAGTCTGACGTGTGGAAACTTCTCTCGGAATGTTTCATTCATGTCCTTCTTGAGGTCGGAGGGCTTCACATATTCGATCACTGTGGTCTGCAACACAGAGGGCAGCAGGGTGGGGCCGGGCCACTGAGGCAATTTCCCGCGACCAGGCCTGCAGATGTGAATGCGCCGAGCCTTCAGAGCGGCTCCAGGTCTGTGAGAATGACACGCCTGGACAGAGGGCAGGGGAGCTGAGCGCACAGTGGCGAATCCAGGCTGTGGAGCACGTGGGCTTAACCCCAGGGTGGTGGGGCCAGCACTGCTCTCTGGCCTGCTGCACATCCCCTCCCCAGGGTGCTGTTGGGGTCCTGGTGGTGCTGGGCTACCCAGTGCTGGGGCCGCTTGCTCACAGCCCCCCCTCCCCCCCCAGCACCTGAGGGGCAGTGCTGCCTGGTGCTCGCCATACCATGTAAGATGCAAAGATGAGGACTCGCTTGTGCTTGCCACAGGGCCACTGCGGGTCATCCAGCAGGTTGGGGTTGTATTCCAGGGGATCCCCTGCATCACTCCCTGCAGGCAGAAGGCATCCCTGACCCACTGCGAGCCCCAAGCTCTGATGCCCAGTTCCCATCAGCCCGAGCCTCAGCAGACCCTGTGCAGCGCCTGGGAGTTCTCCAGCAACGGGGAGCGGTGCTCCTAGGGTCTGGGAGGGGTCCAGGCGTTGGAGGAAAGGATGTCCTGATGAGGATGGACTCCCCACCCTCTGTGGACAAAACTTCCCTCCATGGCCTGGCTGGGTCTACTTCACTGCGAGTCCCTTCCATTCTGAAAGGCTGTACCTCAACCCCACACCCCAAGCCCGCCTTGGTCTAAACTGAGGGCTGTGGGTGACTCACTGCTCTGCTGCCCCTCAGGGTCACTGGCCTGGCTGGTATGGCTGCCTGTCCTGCCCCCGTGGGCCTGGCTAGGGTACCTAGCTCCGTGCTGATCGGCGCTGACTTGGGAGCAGCAGGTTTGTATCTGGATGTTGGCACAGCCCGGGAGACGCTGGTCCGGGGCTGGGGCGGCGGGCCGTGGCTGTCCGTCTTTTGTGCGACGAGGGCGTTGGTAGGGTACAGGAACTTGGCGTAAGATACGACCTGGGAAGGGAGGCATGTCCAGGTCAGTCCTGCTCCTCCTTGCTGTTTCAGGAAGCCCCCCACCCCCACTCCCCTCTGTGGCCCAGCTCAGGCCTATGTTAGTGTTCTCAGTAACAAGAACATTCCAGAATGTCACCCTCACCAGCTCTTATTTGGATCTGTAGCTCAGGAACCTTCTCCCTGCCTCTGATGCCCTTGACCTCCGACCACCAGTGCTGAGGGCGAGGCCCATCTTACAGGGCTGTGGCTTGCTCCCACGGCCCTTTGCATTTTAGAAGATCAAAGGAAAGCACAACTTCATGTGCCCTTTTCCTCCATAAACATGAGATCTGTGCCTGCCGGCCCGTGTGCACGGCATCAGCTCTTGCCTTTCCATCTGCTCCCAGCTCCACACCTTCCAGCTCACAGACCATCTCGGAAGAAACAGACACGCCACCGGACGGATGCCTCTGCTTCTGGCTGTCCACCCTCAGGTCACTGCAACATAGGGCACCGGAGAGAGGCTGGGTCCCTCTGCCTGAGCGGGTGGGCATCAGAACCTCACCTTGCAGACACACGGGCACGTGTTCTCATCGGAAGAACAGCAGAACTAGCATCACTGGGTACACAGTGAAGTTCACCTGTCCTAAGAACTGTCTAGTCTCTCCTTCCCTGGAACCAGCCACCCCATTAAAACACCGGTTGGCAACTATATGCCCCGCATCCTGTGCCGAAGCTTAGGCCACGCCCGATCTTCAGGGGTGTGCCCCCACCCTGCTAGACTTCAGGGGTGCTTCCCACCCTGACGGCCATCTCCTCCTTCCTCGGTTACACGCAGGACACAGCTGCTGGGACTGGTCACAAGAATGCACGCAGAGAAGGCATGTCCCAAGCACTGACATTTAGGTAACTCAAACTGAAGTAAGATGCAGACACACCCCTCCCGGAGAACCAGGAGATGGCAGAACTTCTGAGAAGATTCAGGAGGAGCTGATCTGCTGACCACCTGTGAGGCTGCCAAGAGCCTGGTCCAGCCCAGCCTGTGCCTCTGGGCCACTCACCTGACCCGCAGGCTTTCTCCATAGGGCAGGACCGAGAAGGCTGCACACAGGGACCGCTTGGCGCAGATCAGCACGATCCTGCGGGGAGAGCTGGGTCAGAACAGGTGGCAGGTGTTTCCTGAGGAGGGGAGAGTTCCTTCCCGTCTAGACTCTGGTGACTCTCAGGCCAAGAGGCCCAGCGGCCAGGTCAGTGGGTTTGGCCATGCCAGCTCTCACGGGTCCCCCACACGTAACACGCTGCACAGGAAGGGTCTCACCTGGCCCCAGGTGGCAGGGTGGAGCCGGAGGTCAGGACCCTAGTTCGAGAGGTCAGGCTTTGGAGGAAACACGGGATGGAAGCGTGTGCCCAGAGGGCTGTTCGGTTCAGTCCCCCTCCCCCCGGAAAGGTGGGGGACTAAGAGTATCAAAAAGCATCCGCTCAATGTCCCGAGCCAAAGTGACCCTTGAGGTGCCCTGCATGGAGCACATGGCAGGAAGGACAGCCTTTCCCCCTCTGGGATGGCTCTGCCCGGCCAAGCCCCAGTCTAGCAGGGGGAGAACAGTGAGACTCCCCCCTCTTCTGGCTGGATAACTGGATGACCTGGCTGGATAACCTGGCTCTCAGGCCCGCTCAGGGCCTGCTCGTGCTGAGGGATCAGGTCTGTCCAACCTCCGGCCACTACAGGGAAGGGGGGGCCTGCAGTGTGACCTCCCCTGGGAGGGGGATCGGTGGGGATCCTTGGGTCAGGGTGATGAGCTCAGATGTCTCAGGGCCGGAAGGGTGGTGCACGAGGGTCAGGCGACAGGAGTGGCCCTGTCTGCAGGCACCAGGCCTCCGAAGGTACACCTGCTGCCACAGCAGTGACTCAGGGCAGCCGTGTTTAGGTTTAGTCCACCGCCCTCCTGACCTCCCATACTTCTCAGATGAAACCAAGCCCTCTATCCTGGATGTGTCCCAACGTGTTCCCTGCCCCAATGTCCCTTCACTCAGCACCTCCACTAAGTCCGGTGTCCCCGGGTCCTGGGGGGGGAGGCCGTGGGCTGGCCATGGGCTTGGAGCGCAGTTAATGGGAGGGAGGCCAGATACTTGGAGAGGGACATGTATGGCTGTGGCTCCAGGGCGAGAGCCGGCCCCCAAGGCTTGACGGAGGACACGGGAGGCAGCCCCACAACGGCTGGTACCTGCTATTCTTGGTGTCATACTGTCGCATGTTCTTGATGAAGTGAGTCTTCTTCAGGCCCTTGTGCCTGGGGGACCCGGGCATGTGCTTGGTTCTGCAGGAGAGAAACAGGCCACTCACCCTCCAGGATCTCTCTGGCCCCCAGGGCCTCAGGGCTCCCAGGCAGCAGGTGGGATCTTTACCTTTGAACGGAGGGACATCCCACGGTGTCTTCCAGGAACTCGAGGGAGCAGCGCTGGGAGGCAACTCGCCTTCTGTAAAGAAGACGCCACCGGCTCAGAATCCAGACCAGGACATGCAGGATGGGTCCAGCCAGGCCAGCGGGCGGGGCGGGTGCCGAGGGAAGGAGTGCAGGGGGCCCCTGCAGCCACTGGGACTTTCTCAGGCTCATTTCCGCAGGTCGTTTCCCAGGAGGTGCCAACAGCTCCCGCACACCTGGGACCTCATGTGCAGAGCCCGGCCAGCACAGTCCCTGGGAGGCGCTGGCAGATGCCCTGGAGCTCGCTCCTCCCGCTGACTCCGGTTACATCCATGTCACCACCCTGAAAACCTGTTCCCAGCGGGTGTCACTGACCTTCCTCGGCGACTTTCTTCTACCTTCTCTTCTTGTGTTTCAAGGGAGGGAGTAGTAGTCTCAGAGGGCGGTATTGTTCCCCTCCGTTTACAGGTGGGGACGGAGGGACAGAGCTGGGAGGTGCAGCTTCCCCCCTCCCGCTCAGGGATCCTGCTCTGCCGCCCGCCCGCGGGAGCTGGATTCCAGGGCTCCTTCTCTAAAAGCAGCAGGGCGCTCAGGCAGGAGAGACATCACTGCTCATTAGCGCTTGCAGTGCCCATGAACTTCCTGTGCTTTTAAATGAAGAAAGCCCAGCTGAGGAAGGGCTCTTGTCTGAGGTCTGAAGACCACCAAGGCCGAGTGAGGGGTTCTGGGAAGGGGCTACTGTAGGTGCGATCAGACCATCTGAGAACAGTGACACCCTCCCCCCAATGAAGTGACCGCCCTTCTATATTGGGCACCTGACAGGCGCCAGTGCCAATGATTCGGAATCCTCCCCGGGCCCTGGAAGGAGCAAGGCCCTGGCCTCACCCTGCTGACCTGTGGTCTCTTAGAGGGCAGAGGGAGCCCTGGGGTACTGCCAGCTGTCCAGTGGGGGCGCGGGGGGCTGCCCCACTCCCTGGGGAGGAGGGGAGAAGGGGAGAGGAGAAGGGCGCAGCACCTTGCTGTGCTGATGTATTACTTGCTGAAATGAAAACAAGCACCGAGAGGCCTGGACACTCATCCAACCTCACAATAGCCTCTCAGACGGGTAGTGCTTAACACAAGTCCATTTAATAGAGGAGCAGACTGAGGCCCGGAGAAGCCGTGCCACCTGCTCAAGGTCACAGAGCCCCTGAATGCTGAAGCTAGGATTCCACCAGGTCTGCTAGAGCCTGGGCCAAACCACCTCAGTCACAACACAGATTTTGGGAAGACAACCTCACAATTCTCTCCACTCCTAGAAAACAACAGTCTAAAGCCAGCAGCTTGCAGCCATCTTTGCTAGGCTGGCCACCCTCCCATACTCAGCAGCAACTCTGCTGAGGCCTGGGAAGCACAGAGAGAAGTGGACACGCTGATCCTGGGGCCAGCCTTCTGTCAGGGAGCGAGGTGACCCCAGACACGAGGGCAGGGCCCTGAGCTTGGCAGCAGAGCCTGAGGAGGGACACCTGCTGGGGCAGGAGCAGCCCTGGGGGCAGGAGGGACATCTGAACGGGACTTGAAGGTTACGTAGGAGGGAGAGGCAAGGGGCGGAGGGACCCGGGACTGTGGTGGTGCAGCGGGAGGCCCAGGGACTCCGATTCTAACCACCTCCCACCTCCCAGTCTTCCCAAGCGTGGGCCCTTCACACGCTCTCTTCAGAATGGCGAGGGGCCCCTCCCACCACTCTGGGTCCATGGAGGCTGCTGACTGCTCACAGGGTCTGGCCCAGGACTGGGGCCCCAGCTGTTTGCTGAACTGACGCTTAAACCACACACGGCTGCCCAGCACTCACACCAGAGAGAAGAGCAAACCGCGCTTGCAAAGCACACTGGGCGCAGTCCTCCCAACCAAAAGGACCCGATCGCCCGGACCTGCCCGAGGGAGAGGCTGGAGGTGACCACACCAGTGCAGCCATGCTGACCTCAGGTAAGAAGGGTCACCTCTGAACTCCAGGGCACGGCGGAGACCCTGGGGGGCTCTGCACTCAGCCCCTCCTGCACACCTTCAGAGCCAGCCTGAGGGTGCCACCTGTCTGGCAGCAGCAGGACTGTGATGAGCAGGCAGTCCAGGTGCCCAGCCCAGGAGCCCATCACTCCTCAGGGTGAGGGCAGGGAGTGGAGGTCACCTCAGGGTCGGAGGTAGGGGCCAAGGAGGCAGGGTCTCTGGACCCTGAGACTCTGCTTCTGGGAGAAGGAAGAGGCCTCTGGCTCCCAGGGCTGTGGTCAGGGGCAGACTGGGGGGCTGAGCAGGGGTAGGGCTGCTCTGAGATGGGCTGAGGATTCCTGGAGGTGGAATCAGGGCGGAGGAGTAACTGCCACCTGGGCGCCACAGACTCCGGAGGACGTGGGGGCAGGGGCAGGGCGCAGGGTGGCGCCTGGCCTGGCGCAGAGACTGAGGCTGGATGGCACAATGCAGGGAAGCCCACGGGGTCGGGTGCAGGGGACGACGAGGGCAGCTGGGAGCCTCTGTCCAGGGGACACGCTAGTGGGCTGGGAGGGGGCGTGTCAAGAGCTGACAGGCCGGCCTGTGGAACCGCAAAACTCATGCTCAGGGCACTGACAAGGCTGAGAGCACCATGACCCCATATTCTGGCGCTGGCAGGTTGATGGGGACCATGCCGCCTATGTCTGGGGACTGACAGGGTCCGAGGAAACCCCAACATCATGTCTCGGTTGACAGCGCACCGATGACCCGGCCCTGACATCTTACGCCACGGGGCCCAGGACATGCCACCCCTGCATCTGGGCTCACAGGAGGCCAGGGTCACTTCCTGCTCCCCACGTCCTGGCCGACCGACCACCCACCTGTGTCACCGCGGCCGGGACCCACGTCCCGTGCAGACGGCCTGTCCCACCGGGCTCACGGCCCGGGCACCGCCGCCCGCCCTCCCGCCCGCCCCGCTCACCTCCACCCACTCACCGCGGGCGCGGCGCGTCCAGGCCGAGGCCGGCTGGCGCGGGCGCGGGGCTGAGCAGGCCCTGGGGCGCCGACGCCCTGACCGCGCCGCCGGGAGGGCCGGGCGGCGCGGGCTCGGGCCCGGGAGGCGGCGGCGGCGGCGCGGGCGGCTCGCGGACCTCGGCGGGCGGCGCTGGCGGCGGAAGAGTCTCGCCGACCTGGCCCAGGCTCGGGGGCCGCCCGTCCAGGGAGATGTTGTTGAGGAAGAAGAGCGCGGCCTGGCGGCGCCGCAAGTCCCCGCGCCTCCGCATCGCCGGCGGCGGGGCCCTGGCGGCGGGGCCCGGGCCGGGGGCTCCTCCCGCCGCGGCTGCGGCCATCCTCCGACTGAGCCCGCGGGCCGCCCACCGCCGCCGCCGTCCGCGCGCACGCGCCCGCGCTCGCCGCCCATTGGCCACGACGCGCCCTCATGCAAATGATCGCCGTCGCCCCCGCCCATTGTCAGCGCGGGGCCCGGGGGCGGCTCCCGCGGGTCTCGGAAGGGGTCCCGTAGCCTGAGGGCCGCCGCTCGCCTGACCCGGCTGGAGCGGTCCCGGCGGCCGCGGCGACAGGCCGGGGTTCCAGTCCCCGCCTCGGAAGCTGGGCTCTTGCTGGGTTGCGGCGTTTGTGGTCAGTCTCCATCGAGCCTGGGTCTTTAGGCTCCAGTGCACTTCCTCTTGGGTGTGTGCTAATGCAGGGGCTGAAGCTGTGCCGCCTGCCGTGCTAGAGGCCCTTGGGTTTGCAAACTGACGCCTCTTTGTTACTTCTAGGAGCTCCAAGGCTCCCGTTATGGCCCGAATGGCCGGTGGTGCCACCTGGCCTCCCTCGTTGGCTGAAGAAGAGACAGAGGGTCTGAGTGGAGAAGCGTGGGATGACAGGCAGGTTGGGACAGTCCCGCACTTCCTTCAGCAGCAGTGACCTAGGCTTCAGTTTTCTGTACCGGGTTCCCCTGACTTCAGAGCCGATGGCTTCCTGCTCGGGTGCTGCCTTCTGGGGCCCCAGCTTTCCCCCTGTGGGCTTACTTATCCGTAGAGTGAGGACAGTGATTTCAACTCCAGATATTGTCAGGTTAAAGCTGGCCCCGGATGTCACCGGCGCTGGGCTGCCATGTGCTGGAAGCTGGGCATTTGCTGTTTGGTTATACAGCCCAGTGAATGATTTGGTGTGCTGCCCATTGCCTCACACGACCCTGGCCTCTGCAGCTCCTGTCTCAATAGGAGGAGGCAGGCATCAACCTGCACCAAGGAAACGGGTCAGCAAGTTTCTGGTTTTGAGGACATGAGGAGTCGTCACCATCATCAACCAGGGCCCCGCTGCATGGCCCGCTCCCCTCAGGCCCCTTACCCACCGTTCATCTTGGCGTAGCCCTCCTAGTGACCTCATTTGCCCGCACAGGCAGGCTCACCCACTGCCCAGCCTGTCCTCTCCGTTCCCTCTGCCCTTCCACATTGCCCATGAGGCTTCACCACCCAGGCCGGCAAGTTGGATGTGAATGGAGTGCACAGGCTCTGGGTTTTTTGTTGCTGTTGTTGGTTTGTATTTTTTTGTTTTTGTTAATCCTTACCAGAGAATTTTTTTTCCCATTGATTTTTAGAGAGTGGAAGGGAGGAGGAGAGACACAGAGAGAAAAACATCGATATGATGTGAGAGAGACACATTGATTGGTTGCCTCCCTCACCCAGCACTGGAGATTTAGCCTGTAACTGAGGTGTGTGACCTTGATGGCTATTGAACCTGAGACCCTTCGGTGCCCAGGCTGACACTTGAACCACTTAGCCATCCTGGCCCGGGCCACAGGTTGTTTTATTTGATTTTGGGGAAATCAAAACCATCTTTAACAGCTGGGAGGTTTCATGGGCACCTGCACCCACAGCCCTAACTTCTCTTTTGGGAATTTGTTTTCTGGCCTCTCAGAGCACGGTGGGAGCAGCGCCCTGTCAGTCAGGTGTGTGCCCACGGCCTCATCAGGCCCAGCCATTGCCTCTGTCCCGCCTTCATCTCGGAAGGAGCAATCCTCAAATTCATGTGCAGGGAAAGTGCCCCTTGGAGCTTCCTCTTCTTTAATTTACTATTTATATTGATTTCAGAGAGAGAAAGGAAAAGATAGAAACATCAATGATGATGGAGAATCATCGATCAGCCCCTTCCTAATACGCCCCACACTGAGGACCGAGCCTGCAACCCAGGCATGTACCCTGGCCGGAATTGGACCTAGAACCCTTCAGTCTGCAGGCCAATGCTCTATCCACTGAGCCAAACCAGCCAGAAGCCCCCTGGAGCTTCTTAAATCCTGACCCAGTGGGCCTGGATGAACCCAAGAACCTGTTTAAGCTCCTTTCCCCGAGGCCTCTGAGACACACACACCCTCTTGAAGAGACGATGGCTGGCCGGGGCAGAGTAGCCTGAATGCTGAGGTGGAACACTGGGCTGTGGCCATGCAGAGGGCTGAGCAGTCAGCGGCAGGGGTGGGGCCAGGGGCTCAGGGGTCAGTGAGGAGGGCTGTGCACAGCCTCTCTCTGTTCCCTGGCCATGCCCAGAGTGCCCTGTCCCTTAATGTTTGCTGGTTTTCATCCTGCCCTCCCGTAAGGGAGTGATGTCTTTGGCCCTGAATGCATTCAAGAGCCTCTTGAGTCACTTGCCCAGGCAGGTGTTGGCCAGGCTGCCCTGACCCTGCTAGCCACATAGGCCATCTTTTTTTTTTCTTTTTTCTTTCTTTCTTTAAAATATATTTTATTGATTTTTTACAGAGAGGAAGGGAGAGAGATAGAGAGCTAGAAACATCGATGAGAGAGAAACATCGACCAGCTGCCTCCTGCACACCCCTCACTGGGGATGTCCCCACAACCAGTGTACATGCCCTTGATCAGAATCAAACTTGGGACCTTTCAATCCACAGACCGACGCTCTACCACTGAGCCAAACGGGTTTCGGCAGGCCATCTTTCTTTGCACCTGTGTTCTCCCAGCACCCTGAGGACCCTATCTGCGAAGGCGCCTCTCAGCCTTTCAGTCTCCCTGAGCCCTTGGACTGACTGGGCCCTCAATGCCCAGCGTCTGTATGCAGGATTCCACGAGGGGGCGCCGGAGACCGATGTGTGCAGCTCTGCTGGCCCTCAGGGAAAGGTGGCCAGGAGTGCAGGGCCCTTGGAGTAAGGGATGCCAGTGGAGTCAGGAGAGGGGCGGGGTGGGATGGGGTGGGGGGTAACAGAGAGGTGGTGGGTGCTGCCCGGTAAGGACTGTCTGTGTGCTGCAGGGGTGGGGCTGGGCTAGGGCCTGAGGATCCCTGCCTCCTGTGCTTCTGAACTCCTGTTCCCCTCAAGGGAGAAGGTGCTGGGGAGAAGGTGGGATGGGAGGTGCAGCCAGTCATCAAGATGGATGGAGAAGGGTTCCAAACATCAGCTATAGACCCCTCTCGGCCTTCCCAGCCCCCTGGCCACAGCCAGGACTCAATCTCCTTCCCCCTGAGCTGGGCTGGGCTGGTGTTGTGGGCTGTCCTGGCCTCGGTGGGCAGAGCGCCATAGGGTCCCTCCCGCTGCTGTTGCTGGGTGCGGGCCGTCGTCCTTGGGGTCTTGGCCTCCTGGGCCCTGCAGCTGCTGTCAGGGGCGCCCTTGGGGGTTCTGTCTTCCTCAGGACAGCTTCTTGGCGGCTGTGGGAAGCGGACTGAGTTTAGGCGGGGATGCACGGCTGTGGCCTCATGGGTCCTCCATTGAAATGACACTGGGCTCTCCCAGGGCCTTTGCGGGCAGTCTCTGGGCATGGGAGCTCGAGAGCCCACCTGGCAGAGGTGACTGGTTCTGACAGCAGCAGACCCAGAGCAGCAGCCGCTCAATTGGAATTTGGTGGAAGCGAGGACCCTCTCCCCAGGCGTGCCAGCCTGAGGCCGGCCCAGTCCTGGCAACCCCCTCGCTGCTTTGCAAAGAGAGGGCCCGGCACGTTTTGGATAACCCGCACTGATGGGGAAAGACTCTCAGAATCCCGAGACACTGGCTGGGTGTCTCCATGGGCCTGGCCTGCCTCTGGCCAGGCTACAGGGGAGGGGTCAGATCCCTGCGACCCTGGCAGGGGAGGCCTGCCAGCATGTCTCTGACGCGGAACAAGATTCAGACCTGGGTCAGAACCAGGGTGGAATCCTGACCCTGTGTACCAGTTTTGTGACCTTGGGTGAGTTCCCTCACCTCTCTGTGCCTCAGTTTCCCCACCTGTGAGGCTATGAGGTCCATCACTGGGCAGTCATGAGGTCCAGAGGCAGTGAAGACTGGACAATGCTGACAACCTTCTATGGGCGCTGCCACTGGAGCTGAGCCATGTGGCATATTGCCTGGCACATAATGGTGAGGGCCACAAGCTGGGCAAAGGCTCCGTTCTCACTGACCGCCAGTGTGGGCGTCGTGAGGTGTCGGTGCCAGCTGGGGAGCCCCTGCACTGGCCCCGGTGGGAGGACCAGGGTTGGGCAGCTCAGTTCCAAGAGCAGGGTGGGGCGGACACCTGCATGCCCTATGGACTGTGCCCACTGTGTCTGGGCCAAATAGCGCCCAGTAGGAAGTGCCTGGAAATCAGACAGGTGGCTGGCCTCCTCCATTGCTCGCCCGAGAAAACACGGCTCTCAGTCACCTTCCCAGCAACAATGGTGCCTTGTGGCGGCCTAGCCTGGCCTGCCTAGTGGCAGACCTGTTTGGACAAACACCTGGGCGGCATCATTATTAGCTTAGGCATTCAAAGTCTCTCCCTGGCCCCTGGCCAAAGCTGCCTTTGTGGCCAGAACAGCAAGTGGAGGTGACGTGGGACCCTGTTAGGAGGAGCCAGGCCCACTGGCACCATCTCATAAACATTTGAGCAACTCCCGCTTCCCCGCTGTCCAGACACCCCCCACACATCCCGGTGGCCAAAAAGGTCCAAGAGACCCCATCCCTCCAGGTTGGAGGACTGGCCGGCTGCTGTGAGGAGGAGTGGACCAGGAATCACCCAGGCCTGACCCCTCCCCCTCCTCTTCTTAAGGGTCCTGCTCTGGGAGAGCTTCAAGGACTGGGTTCAGGGTCTGGGTCAGTCCCTTGGGGACGGGGTGTTGGGCGGTGGCCACTCCCCACCCCCCCTGCTTCTGCCACATACCTTTGTCCCACAGGTCAGAGGGCTGGGCCCACTTCCTCTTCTGTGGCCGGCCCTGCCCGGGCTCCTTGGCACAGAAGCACCGGGGCCCGTCCCCCGGGGTGCTGGATGTGGCCCCCGTCTCCGGGCTCAGGCCCACCTGCGGGTGTGGGAGTGTGGTCAGGGCCAGGACCCTCCCCCGAGCCTGGGGGAGCCCTCGCTTGGGGCCCCACCTGAGCCTGGGACCCACCTCACTGTCCGAGGCGTCTGGCTCATCCAGCTTGTCCGACAGCGGCCGCTGTGCCTGGGCCTTGCTGAGCTCTGCAGGGTGCAGGGCGGGGGTCAGGCCAGGCTGGTGGCCTGGCCGTCTGGTGAGAGCAGGGCGCGTCCTAGCCTGCCAGACCAGGATGAATGGCAACAACTCTGCAGACGAGGAAACTGCGGCACAGAGAGTGCGGTACCTGCCCTGGTCCAGCTCCTGCAGTGACCCCACCAGCTAGGGTGTCCCCCTGGCTTGGTCACTGTGTAATGGGGAACCCATGCCCTGCCCCCAGACCCTAATTGCTAGGACCCTTCCCTTCACCGCCTGTGGTCAGAGACACACCTGCCCTGACCCCCAACTCCTTTCTAGGTCTGCCTGTGGCGGAGCTGGGACAGGTACACTCAGCTGGTGCTGACCACTGCACATCCCCCCCTCCTGGGTTCTCCTGACCCTGGCACTCACCTTTACCTGGGTGGCTACTGGCGTCAGGCCTCTGTGGGAGGGGGGACGGCTTTGGCCTCTCTCTGGTCCCATCGCCTGTCCTGCCTGGAGACGGTAGGCTGGGCTGGGGCTCCGGGAGTGGATGTGGGGAGTCCTGAAGGAAGCAAGTAGGTGGCTTGAATTCATTTGGGGAGATTGTCTTGCCCCCCAACCCAGCCTTGGGCACAGCCTGGCCTGCGCGTGAGTCAGGAGCAGGCTTTCTCGCCGGGCAAGGCTGCTGGCCTGGGTGTGGGCACGGGAGCAAGACCGGGGCTGGGCCTCACCTCGGGCATGGCGGCCTCTTCTGGCCCTGGTGCTCTGGCCCCCGTGGTGCCATTGCTTCGCCCCCAAGGTCCAGACTGGGCAAGTGGCTTGGCTCCCTGGGGCGGCTCAGGGCTGGGAGTGTGGGCAGCCTTGGGGCTGAACCTCCCTGGCCGGCCCACAGGCTTGGGGGTGTCCTGGCCCCGCCCCCACTCGGAGAGGTCCAGGGGCTTGTCTGGAACAGGGACCTCTGTGTCTGTGGCCTCCTTTCCCCTGGGGCTGCCTGGGCCTGTGGGCCGCTGGTGCTGTCCCCTGGGCAGGGCTGCCCTCGTCACCTCGCCCTCTGAGCCATCAGAGTCGGAACCGATCGGAGGGGAGGGCAGTGTCTCCCCTGGCCTGGGGGGCCCCCTCATCCTGGCACCACCAGCCTGTCCCCGTGCCCGCAGCTGCTGGGCCAGAAGCAGGCTCAGGGCTCCCTCTAGCCGAGGATCCTGCATGTCCACCAGGGAGCCCGGCAGGCCCAGCAGGCCCGCGGGCGCCTCCCAGGCCTCTGCCTCTCCGGCCTTCAGGGGCTGGGGCTGGGGACCGTCAGGGGCCACGGCGGGGGCCCGGGGGCTGCTGTGGGGGCTCCGAAGGTGCAGGGACAGAGGGCGGTTCAGGAGGCAGAGGCGGTCAGCTTGGAGGGCATGCTTCAGGGACTCGTAGCGCCTGGTGGAGGCCAGAGAGGCCCGCAGGAAGCTGGGGGGTGGGGAAAAGCCCAATGACAGGGGCTCACGGCCAACGCCCCATCACAGGGAGGACCCAGAGAGGTGAGGAGAACTGGCCTGGTCAGAGGGAAGACGGGGGGAGGGTAGGCTCCTGAGCCCCCTATCCTCCTCTCTGCTCTAGAGGCCAAGCCATGTGACCTGGAACCTGGGGCTCTGTGGCCTCTCCCCTCTGGGCATCAGCTCTCTGCCCTCTCCCCCAGCCCCACCCCGTCCTGGTTCAGGGGGTATCCCCGTGGGGACTTTGTGATGGGCAGTCACCAGGGAGGCAAGCCTTGGAAGAGCGTGAGCTCCTGCTGTGCCATGGAGGGGCTCCTGGCCACTGACCCCCCTCCAAAGGGGGACTAGATGGGACAGTGCTCGCTGAGGCCACTCTGGTGGTGGCTGCGGGCAGACCCTCACCTGTCCAGAGAGAGGCTGTGCTCGTAAGGCAGGCTGGGCGGGCTGCTCTGGGCAGAGGGCGTCCCATTGGCGGAGCCCCGGTCAGCGGAGCAGGCCCAGGCCCCTGGCCGCACCACGGCAATGGTCCCGTGCAGCTGGTTGGAGATATGCTGGGGGCTCTGCACAGGGTGGGCACGGTCAGCCTGGGGGGGGCGGCTGTTGCCCTCTGCCCTTGCTCGACCTTGGACAGGTCACCCACTAGCTCTGAGCCTTGCCTCCATCCCGTTGAATGGAGCTCAGGGGTCCCTGTCTGTCCCAGAGAACAGCGCGTGGCATGTGGCTGGGGCTGGGAGAGGTGGCTTGGGGTCCCTCATCCTCACCATGTCTGAGGCCCGTGGCTCGGGCAGGTTGGCGCCCGGGGAGATGTTGGTCCCTGGAGACATCCTGTGCCCCAGCTTGTCTGTGAGGAAATGCGGCGGACAGGCCAGGTTGGGAGATGCCCGGCTCCTGCCCAGAGGCCCCGGCCTGGGATGCCCGCCCCCCGCCTCACAGCACCTTCTCCCCGTGGACCCGCTTCTGGGGGGTGGTCCTCAGCCTCCGCGTGGCCTCCGGGCAGCTTCTCAGTGCCGGCCTTCCAGGGGCCCGGGGAGACGAGCAGTGGCGGTGAGGAGGGGTCCAAGGAGCCCTCCTTGCACTGGGGCCTGGGTCTGTCTCCCGAGGGGAGGGCAGTGCCCCCCAGAGACAATCAGAAAGGCCAGGTGTCCTCCTGGGGGCCAAGCCGCCACTGCAGGAGGACCAGGTGGCCAGAAAGGGGGCCCGTCACACCACCCGAGATGCGGCCCAGGTGCAGCGCCCTGAGAGGCAGAGCTGCTGGGGTGTGGGGACCAGCCTGCTTCTAAGGGTCTGCTGGGCTCCTGTCCATTCACAAGGTACCTGTTGTGCTTGTTGCTCTGAGGTTGGGAGTTGGCTCTGTGGTGAGTGGCCATGGGACGCCCCCCCAGTACTGGGTTGGTCCCGCACAGGGTCCTGTGCCCCATGCTCTGCAGCCGGTGCTCGTGGCTGCGGCCGGGGCCTGCTGTGAGCTGGGATTGAGGGATCAGGGTGCTCAGGCCCCTGGCATCTTCCCCACTCACCCCAGGCGCCGAAGCTGGGCCAGCTCTTCCTTCAAGCTCTCATTTTCCTCCTGCAGCCGGGTCACCTCATTGGCTGCAAAGACACCAGTTAGTGAGGGACGGGGGTCCTCGCAGCCCGGAGCCTCCCTCCTTGTCCTGCCTCCTCGGGGCCTGGCGTGCGCAGGCGTGCTTGCTGCCTGAGGGTGGTTGGACATGGCTGAGTCAACTGCGCCAGCCTTAAGGCCAAGGAAAGCGATGGGGACCTTGTCCCCGGAATGCCCCCAAGGTGAAGAAGGCTGCCCTCCTCAGGTGGGGCCTCAGGGGCCTCTCAGAGCACAGGGAGGGGAGTTGAGGCCGAGAGGGCAGGGGACTGATGAGTGAGGGACACGCCAGGGCCAGCTGGGGCTTCGCATCATTTGCCTGTAAATTGGGGTGTGGGGTGACCGTTGGACAGAAGGATCACCTTCCCTCTTTCCCTGTGACCCATGTCGGGCTGAGCAGGCCGGGGGTCATGGCCCGCAGGAGGGGCAGGGCAGCTCACTGAGGACGAAGAGGTGCTGCAGGTTCTGGAGGAGGGAGCTCTCGAACTCCTGCTGCTTCTTCCTGGCCAGCTCCTGGGTGACGGTGCAGCGGTCGCACAGGCCGGCCCGCAGCCTGTGGCGGGGGGGGGGGGGGGGGGGGGGGGGGGGGGCAGGAGGCCACTCTGAGGAGGCAGACTGAGGCCCCCCGCAGGGATGTGTCCTTGCCTTTTCCAGGGAAGCCCGCCCCCTCCCCCCCTAAGTTTGGGAAGGAACCCTGAAAATGCAGTTTACTTCAGGCTCTGAGAGTGCCTGCAGGGAAGGTCAGGGAAAGCTGCCTGGTTTAGGTTATCCAGAGAGCTCCCCAAATGCATTCCCCACAGACCCTTGTCCTCTCCGCTGCCACGTATCAGCAGGGGCCAAGTTCTGTCTCCCCTGCTACCCAGCCCCTGGCTCCCCTGCTCCCCAGCACCCGGCTTCCTGCTCCCAGCATCCGGCTCCCTGCTCCCCAGCACCCGCTCCCCTGCTCCCCAGCACCCGGCTTCCTGCTCCCAGCACCCGGCTCCCTGCTCCCCAGCACCCTGCTCCCTGCTCCCAGCACCCGGCTCCCTGCTCCCAGCACCAGGCTTACCTGTTCTCCAGCACCCGTACGTTGTCTTTCAGAGCCTTCTGCTGCTCCCTGAGCTGGTGGTTCTTGGCACATAGCTCCTCTACCCTTTGGGCATCCCTGTGGGGGTGGGGGAGGACCAACGCGAGGTTGGGTTTCTCTCTGCCACCTGCAGTGCTACGGAACTGAACCCCATCTTGATGTGGAGAGCCCCGCCCCTCAGTTCTCCATGTCTCATGACATGTGTTCCCACTGATAACTGTCGATACTGCAGGCGTCTTGGGTGGGTGTGGCTTGCCCAGGCCCATGGAGGGTCCCTGTTCACATGGTGGCTTTGGAGTTTCCAGTCCTGGCTCACCAGCTGTTGGATGTATGACATGGGCCAGTGGGTCCCTCCCTCCTGCCCACGCTGAGCCTGTTTCCCTTTGTACAGGGCCGAGGACACCCTGAAATTTGGGAGGATGAAGTGAGTGACCGGTGAGCTGCTGTCCTTCACATCTGTTCCCACTGGGCTGGGCCAGCCCATCCCGACTCACCGGCAACGCTCCGAGTTCAGTTCTAGAAGCTTGTTCTGCAGGCCTGGAGGGTCAAGGAAGGGGTGGGGGTCAGGCCCAGCTGTGCGGCAGAGCCCAGGGCACCTCCGTCCCTCTGCACCCTGACCGGTCGCCTCTCAGACTGCTGCCCTGGTCCAGTGTCTCCCTTCCTCTGGGAGCTCTGACTCTGTGTCAGTCTGAGATTGATTGGGACCTCACGGCTGGGATAACAACCACCTAACCAGGTCCTGGGAGGGCGTTAATGTGGGGGGCAGCTAGTACTGAAATAAAATGGGCTCTTGGGGGCACCCGCAGACTCCACCATGCCCCCTCATGTGGCCAGCCTGGCTCGTTAGCCCAAGCAGAACCTGCCTCTCAATCTCTGGGGCGGTGACCCATGCCCTTTGGCACTCTGGGGGGGAGTGCTTATGGAATGTTGGTCTCAGGAGGGTCTGGCCAGGGCCAGGGAGCCCAGGGGATGAGGGGACAGGTGTGTGGGCAGGGTGGGGCCCAGCCTGGGTGTCCAGGAGAGGATTTCAGATCAATGCCCTGGACGGGCCGTTCTTAGAGGCGGGCGGCCTCGCTGGGGGGACGCGGAGGCCTCTGCCCTGGGCGAAGGAGTTCCTGGCTCTCTGCAGCAGCTGGCTCTTCATTTCCACTAGGACTGGGCTGACTGCTGGGAGAACCCTGCAGGGCACACTTGGGTGCTGTTCTGAGGCTGGGCACCTGGCCTCGCTGATGCTCTGGGCTCTGAGGCATTACTGCCTCTGGGCCTGGAAGGCGAGGTCCTAGGTTTGGAGGAGATGTGTGGGAGCAGCCTGGCCTGGCCTCCGCCCCCACCTGCCCTGCCCCTCGGCACTCACCCAGGACCTCCTTCTCATGGATGTCCTTCAGCCTGTTCAGGGACTCCATGAAGCTCTCCATGACCCCACGGCCCTGGCCCAGGCCCTCTGTGCTCAGGTGCAGGATGCCCTCGGCCCTACTGCCCCTCTGCTTCTGGCCTGTGGGGCAGGAAGTGGGAGAGGAGCTCTTTGGCTGGGGAAGGGCTTGTGGGTGTAAGGTCCAGTCATGGGCCACTGCCTGGAGAGGGTCCAGGTGCTGAGGGGACAGGGGATGAGGTGTGGGGTCCTATCAGTGGGTCATGCCCACACTGGTCATGCCCACACTGAGGACCCAGTGGGCTCCCCTACCCTGTCCTGCTCTTAGCATTCATACTTTGGGGGAGCGAGGAGGGACAGGAGGGATGAAGCCTGTCTGTTCAATGTCCACCACCCAATCCTGGCCTCCTGCAGGCAGAGCCTCTACTCTCCCCTCCTCCGCCCACTGTAGCTGCAGATTGGCCCCGGGCCTGGAGGGTGAGCCCCACATCAGGAGCCTTGGCTGGGCCTGGCCTGGCTCAGAGCACCCATTTCACGCTCCATGAGCCCACTAGCCGGTTGTGACATGCAGCCCCTCTGGGGAGCTCTCTCCTGCAGCTCCTTCCGTGAGGGGGGCACTGCCAGCTACGGGGTGCCCAGGGCCTCCAAGGCTCAGACTTCAGCACGGGGCCCCTCACTCAGCCTGGTGTGCTCTGAACTGACGGGAAGTGTGTGTGCTGGGCTGTGTGTGCACATGTGGGCATGTGTGTGTGTGTGTGTGTCAGGGTGTTGAGGCCCAGTGCTCTCTGTGCCCACCTCGAGTCTGAGCAGTTGTGGGTGCCAATTCTAACCCCAGGTCTACGTTGACTGAGACTGAGCCAAGGCCCCTTATGTGTGCTGCAGGAATGGGTCCTTGGCCTCTCCCTGGGGCTCTGAGTCTTACAGAGCAGAAGGATCCTGTCCTGCCTGCCCGAGGCAGAGACCTCTTCCCTCTGGGTCTTGCTTCCGGCCACGGTGAGGTGGCCCCTCCTGTCCTCAGGTGAGGAGTCCTGGGGGCCACTGGGCCCTGACAACAGACAGCCAGGCTCCTGTAACTCCAGACCCTCTCCTGGCCTCCGGCACTGACCCCTCAGGAGCAAATGCTGGCAGGACTTCTGCTCATGCTCAGAATCTCACCTTTCCCTCCTTGCCACACCCCACTGGGCCCAAACCACCATGGGACTGAGCTGCGTCCCCCGGGCCTGCACCTGGCTCCCTGCCTCTGCCCAGCTCCAGCACACACTCCGTACAGCGCACGCGGGCCCTTGCAGCCTCTGCTCAGAAGCACCCCTGGCTGTGCTGAGTTCTGGCCAAGGCCACAGAGGGGGCATGGTCTCATTTGCTTTTCAAAGATTGCCCTGAGGGTGCCTGGGTTTGCAGCCGCAGCACCCTACAAAACAACCCCAAACTGGGAAACCCCAAATGCCAACTACTAGATGACCGTGGCCAGAAAAATGCCCCAGCCCCCACTGCCATCACCGAGTGACATGGGCTCTAGGAAGCGGGGGTGGCAGGTGCCATGGGGTCACAAGGCCTGAATGGAGCAGGTCTTATGACCCCAAGAGAAGTCAGGGGCAGCAAGCACAGGACCAGGCTGCTGCCTGGAAACAGACCATGAGTCTGGCTCTCAGCCTCGCCCTGGAGCCCGAGTCAAAGGCCAGCGGGAAGCCTGTGCTTCCGGGGGGGAGCCGGCGCTGGAGGACAGGAGGTCCTGTGCCTGCAGTGCCCAAGGAGCGGCTGCGCAGGGCCGGGGTGTGGTGGAGGGTGGAGCGGCAGGAAGGCCCGGCTCCCCAAACTCGTTTACCAGACCTGCCTGGGCTGTGGGGAAGTAGGGGTGCCCGCATGGTGGCTCACGATAAAGGAAAGAGGCTGAATTCCGGAGGCCCGGAAGGCCAGGGCAGAGCAGAGGGGTATAAATGGTAACTCGGCCATTTCCTGAGCGCAGTACACCCGTCACTTTCATGACAGTCCAAACCTGACCACACCGTAGCGTCCACTCTCCAGAAGGGGAAACTGAGGCCCAGAAGATCATGTCTGTGTCTCTCCCCGCCCGCTGCCCAGTGGATGTGGGAGCCAGATTTGAGCCTTCTCTGGAAGCTGTGGATACTGTGCCCGCACCCCATGGGGACAAAGGCATGTCCTAGTAGCCCCGCTGTGCTCACTGTGCTGACCTTGACCTCATGGTGGGGCCCCTGGAAGGTAAGGCTTTGAACCGGGGCCTCCATGGGCTCAGGTCTCCAGCAGGAGGGCGAGGAGAGCAGGGAGGGGCTGAGCCGCAGTGCCTGAAATTCCGCCCTGACCGGCCTGACCAGAGCCTCTTCCCTCCAGCTCCTGTGGTGGCCGTGGGCTGTGGGCCGTGGGCTGGGCCAACGCCCATGAAGGAGCTGCCCAAGGGAGCCTATGGTGTCATGGCCGGGGGCAGCCTGTGTGGGCTCTGGGTGCAAGCGAGAGGCAAACTTAGGTGACCAAATCGTCCCGCTTTTGGCGGGACAGACCCAATTTTTAACAATTTGTCCCACGTCCCACGGCGTTTTAAAAAATTCTTTCCAAAAATGCTGGACACGGGTCAAATTGTCAAAAATCGGGACTGTCCTGCCAAAAGCAGGACGATCTGGTCACCTTAGGCAAACATGGCTTCTGAAGATGTCACGGTGGTGCCCTCTGTTGGGTGCCACCCCTGCCTCGCCAGTCTCCTCTTTGTGCCCCAAACCTCCCTGCCAGCCCTCCCAGCTGCTTCTCTCAGGGGACACCCCTCCATGCCGGGCAGGGTCCTGGGCAGGCTGTGCTGGTCGCTGACAGCAAAGTTGGGGTCTCCTGTCTACACACACAGCCCCTGGCCACACGGCCCGTGGCGGCAGTGCCATGGGGACAGTGTGACTTTCCTGGGAGGGCAGGTGACAGAAGTGCTTTGTCTGGGGCCAAGTGGACATGGCCTCCAGGGGCACCGTGGGTAGAATGACCCTGGGTTGTAGCCTCCTGCTGGGAGGTCAGTGGGCCTCCGGATCAGGCCGGCTGTTTGCAGGAGGCCCAGGCAGTGGGGGCTGGGGGCTCAGAGAAGTCTGGCGGCCTGTGCACAGGAGAGGTTGACCTGAGCCGCTCTCAGGGGTGGAGCTTGGAAGCAAAGACCTGAATTGTGCTCCTTAGGGCCCCAGACAGGCCAGGACCCAGCCCTCCACCTCTGGACGCCCAGCTGCAGGTTTCAGCTGGGGCTGAGCCACTGGAAGGTGGGTGGGAGGGAAGGGCAGGTGGGCCGGCCATGCCGAGTCAGCCAGGCCAGAGTGATAAAGACATGGGGTCCAGGCCATAGCCCACAGCCCTGGTAGCGGCCCTGTCTTACCTGTACCTCTGTGCGAACTTGGGTAGTGGTTTTACCTCTCAGAGCCTCAATTTCCTCATCTCGGGGTAACACTACCCCCATATCAGGTACTGTGAGGCTCCTCCCACTAACACATGCCCAGGGGACGCCCGCCCAGGTCACATATGTCCAGGGGACGCCTGCCCAGGTGAGACATGCTCAGCCCAGTGCCCGGCGCTGAGAGCTCAGTTTATTGATGAAGACCCTGCGTCCCCCGCCTGCAGTCTCCCTGGGGTCACAGCTCCCTCACATGTGACCCAGGGACTGTCATTTCCATTTACAGGACCCCTCCTCTCTCGGGCCAGTTCTCCCATTGCCACGAAGACCCTTTGCAGGAGGACACCCTCCCCGCCCCCCCCATTCAGAAATCTGTAGTGATGGTGCACACTGTATAGACACTTCAGGCCCACTGAGTCTCAGTTGCTGTGCCCAGGGCAGGTGCCTTCTGCCCCCCAGGCAGAGAGGACACTGAGGCCCCAGCTGATTGGACACTGTCAGGTTGAATGGCAAAGCTCCAGGGGTGTGGTTTCTGGCCCTGCTCCTGGGCCAGCTGGGGCCCCTGGTTCCTCGCCCCCTTGCGGCCTTCCTGGTTGGGGCGTGCACTGTGCTCGGTCGCTCCTGCTCCTTCTCGCCATCGGTCTGTCTGTCTGTCCGCCTATCCACAGAGCAACCGTGACGATGCTGCTTCCTCATGCCCACTGTGCCACGCATGGTGCAGGGCTCTACATGTTTACTGGGGCACTAAAACCACCCCAGACTCTCTGGAGTGTGGAGAGGTCACCGGATATACTGTCCCAAGTGATGGACCCTAACCTCCTGCTGGGCCTGCAAGGGACCAGGCACGCCGTCAGCGCCCACTGAGTGCTTGTGGCGTGGGGACTTAATTATGCACCAACTGCGTGCCGGGCTCGGTGCGCGGCCATCTGAGGAGGTGCTCACTGGCCGCTCCGCAGGCTCAGGCCGAGGCCCTGTCCACCCTCGGGGGCCTCTGCGCTGCTGGGCAGTCACCCACCGGGCTGAGCCTCAGTGTCCCTCTCCACACAGAGCGGTGAGCCCCCTGCCCCCCTCCTGGAGTCCCCTCAGGCTGTCGGGACTCCTCAGACACAGTGGTCAGGGCCAGTCTGGGAGCCCCCACGTGCCAGCACCCAATGGGCACTCCCTGCTATGGCCCACTGGGTCTCATGCTTGCCCATGGAGTGGCCATGCCAACCCTATTTATAGAGGAGCAAGAGAGGTTCTCAGGGGCACAGCCAGGGCAGAAATGGGGCCTCCTAAGGACCTTGGACCAGCTCAGGGATGTGTCACTGCCGGGCAGGTTTCTAACGTCACCGGACACACAGCATGATGCCCACACCCATACACACGGGCAGACAGGATCCTAATACCATCCTAACACATGTTAGAGCACATCCCAACACACGAGTGCCACACACATGTGCTCCCCTCAGCCACCTCCCCTGGCACACACACAGCGCTGCCCGGTCCTAGGTGAGCTGCACATGAGTATGCATGCACGCACGCACGTGTGCACACATAGCTGTGCATCCCAAAGCACGTGCACACGTGCACAGAGGAGCAGGGAGGGTGCTCCCGGGCGGGCTGAGCTGCTCCGCGGCTCAGGTAGCCGTGGGCTTTGCACGCTGGCTTCCAGGGCATGGGCTACCGGCTGCGTCCCGGAGGCCTGGCGGGGCGGCTGAGCAGGACCCATGGTCCCGGGAGCCCTTTGCCACTGCCTCTCCAGAGACACCAAGGTAGGGCAGCCGTGCCCCCAGCCCTGTGCACCTCCTCACCCCCGGCTTCACCCTCTGCCCGTGAGGACTCAGCTGTGGGGCAGATCCAGGAGGAGGTGCCCCAGACCCTCCCCCCAGTCTTGCCCCTGCACCCTGCCTCTGGCCAGGAAGCTCACTGGGCCCCCTCCCCCACTTGGCTCCCTGGACGAGGCACCTCAGAGCAGGTGGCTGAACCCCTCTTACCAGCCTGGCCAGCCCACCGCCTGCTTAGCAAACAGGGGCTGGGTGCCTTGGGGGACCACAGTGTCCCCAGCCCCTCCCCTGCCTCCAGCTGCCAGAGCTGTGGGGTCCCTGCCCGGGTACTCACATGGCCCCTTGCCCGGGTTGACCTCCGCGGACCTTCCTGCCCGAGATAGAGGCAGCAATGTGGGAACCTGCACAGGCAGCAAGGCGCAATTTTGGCCAAACCCGCTGGGCAGGTTCTGGGCTCTCCTTACCAGGAGCGGAAAGGAAGCAGGGCGGCCCAAAGCCGCCCGACGGGTTCTGCCATTGCGCAGAAAGTGGACGAACAGGTCGGGTCTGAACCCACATAGAGCTGGGATTGTTTCTCGGTAACACGCATGGCCCGCACCTCTGGCCAGTTAACAAGGAGAATCTGGGGCCTCCAACATGGGGGGGCGGGCAGGGCGGGTGGGGAGGGCCTGGGGGTGGGGTGGCAGGCGGAGCTGGCTCCTCTGGTGACCTGGGTGCAGGCGGGCAGCAGGGCCCTTCCTCCTCACATCCCGGCTCGCAGAGGGTCACCTGTGACCCCGGTGTCCCGTCTGCAAACTGCCCCAGAGGAGCTCAGGGGGCGGGACTCGCGAGCTGCCATTGGAAGTGGCCCCTGGGTCTTGGGGCGGCCCTGCCAGATGCTGCCCCTCTGGCTCTCGCTGAGGACAGCAGGCAGGCCTAGGAGTGGGCATCTCTGGGTCTTGGGGCAAATGGCGGGGGGTGGGTAGGAGGGGGGCAGTGGGGCTGGGGCCAGAGGTTCTGCTGGGGTTTGGGAGAGGCTGGCACTGTGGTTTACAAGTTTGTTCTCTGCACAGAGACCTTGTGGCCCCACTCACACAGCAAGGAGCTGGCCCCCGAGGGCTGGGCTCCCCACGCCCACCCACGCCCACCCCCACCCCAGGTCTCATGTCTCCCTCCATCCGGCTCCCTGCACATACCCGCACACTGTCTTCCCTGCCCCAAGTGCCCACACCTCCTTCATCCCCACCCCACGCTCCTCCCTCCACCCCCTCCATCTCCCCACCCTCACTCAGCACTGCTCCCAGGGCTCAGAGGAGGACTTGGCTCCAGGCCAGGTGAGGTCCCAGAGGGACTCCCTGCTGCCAGGGTGGCCCCTGGCTCTGAGGAGGGTGTAGAGTCAGCCTTAGAGCTTTCGGGTGCTCCTAAGTGATGTCCCCCGCTGGCCGGCCCCCTGAGTGGTATCTGTGTGCTGGCTGCAAATGTTTTCATGTGCTTGCGTGTGCTTGCGTGTGCACTGCATAAGGGAGTGGATGTGGCAATGTGGGTACTGCCTGATGTATGGGAGTCTCCCCCTGGCTTCTGCCCCAGACATGTGCAGACACTGAATATCCGGTGCTCATTCATGCATTCATGCATGCAACATGCGCTCACCGAGGGCTGCACGGCCAGGCAGCTGTGTGACCCGCCACTGACGTCCTGCTGCATCTCTGTGGGACCAGCCAGGGCACAGGCGAGACGGCCAAGGCAGCAACCTTAGATGTCACCTGGAGTGCTCACGGGACAGCTGTTTACAGAGCTGGGGAGGCCCTGGTGACACACAACAGAGGTTCCTGTTACAGAGCACCCACTGTGCGCAGGCCCTGGTGACAGTGACCATTCTGGCCCAGTGAGCCGGTGCCAGCGCTATTGGGAGAGCATGAGGGTGCCCTGGATGGGGCACAGGACAGGAGGGAGGAGAGAGCAGGGACACAGCTGGGGAATGAAGAGGGTAAAGCCACCTGGCTGGAGAGTGCCTGTGGGGATGGGAGGGACAGGGGTCCACAATCGCCTGTGCTGGCCAGGGGACAGGTGACTACAGTCAGCGGCTGGAGGGACACCAGGCCAGCAGTGTCAGCCTCTGCGGGCGGGGAAAGCACCAAAGAGGGAGGAGGCCGCTGCATGGGGGGCGGGGTGTTTGGGGTGTTGCAGCTTCCCCAGTCGCGCCTGGCTGCGCCATGCTCACGCACCTGTTCGCTCACGCAGCCACCCAAGAACTACTTCTTGGTGTACCCTTGGCTCTGAGCACATGCGTGGTCATGCCCGTGCCCATTTTTTGGCCTCCTGCTTGGTAGCCTGGCTGTCAGAATCAGACATACAGCGGGCGCTCTCTGAGCCTCAGTTTACTCACCTGTAACCCAAAGACAGAGTTTCCTAATTTGCAGAGTTGACCTGAGGATTAAATGAGATTATATCATGCATGTATTCATGCATTCTTCCACTCTGTTTGTTGAAGCCCAGGGTGCTGGGTGCTGGGGAGTGGGACTCACGAACCAGGCAGCACCTGCCTCAGACATCACCCAGCCAGCCTCAGGGTGCCCGCCTGCATGACCCACAGACCGTGGCTTCCCCGCCAGCCCAGGGGCAGAGTGCTCCACGCCCGACCTTCAGCTGGAGACCAAGGCCCGAGTGGGCTGGGGGGCACTGCCAAGGCTGCGGGGGGCTGGAGCTCCTCCGGACTAGGCAGTCCCCCGCATGTGAGGGGCTAGGGCGTGGAGCGGGGGAGGTCTGTGCCCAGCCCTGGAACAGCTGGAGGCAGAAGGGATCCAGTTGGCTTTTCCGGAGGCCTGGGGGGCAGGGGGAGGGGGAGAAAGGGAGATAAGGCTTCAAAGGCAGCTGCTAGGGCACCTTTAGGGCCAGGCCTGTCTTGCTGCTTCACAACTGTGTGCTACTAGACTGATAGGTGGGGGTGTGGGCAGTGGCCAGGCCCGCCCCCTGAGCCCTGGCTCCCAGATAAATGGGTCACCTATTAATATGGCCTTGCAGAGGGCCTGAGGGGGTGCGGCTGTCCCCTCCACATCTGAGGCCTCTGTCCCACCCTCTGTGCAAACAGGCTCCCAAAGGCCCCGGAAGGGGCAGACTGCCGTGGGGGGTGGGCCCAGTCTGGCAGTGGGAGGGGCAGGGGCCTTGGATGTCCTTGGGGGGTTGAGGCACCCTGAGGTGGCTTCCACACAAGGCACCCTTTTATTTTATTTTATTTTATTTTATTTTATTTTATTTTATTTTAAAAAATATATTTTATTGATTTTTTACAGAGAAGAAGGGAGAGAGCTAGAAAGGTCGATGAGAGAGAAACATCGACCAGCTGCCTCTTGCACACCCCCTACCGGGGATGTGCCTGCAACCAATGTACATGCCCTTGACCAGAATCAAACCTGGGACCTTTAAGTCCACAGACCGACGCTCTACCACTGAGCCAAACCGGTTTCGGCAAGGCACCCTTTTCTTAAAGGACACTTTGAAAGCACAGCGGTGCAAGGATGGCGGCCTTTAGGGGCCTAAACCTTCACAGGTGAGGCCAAAGGCCCCTTTTATGGTCGCCTTCCCGCCTCCCGGCACCGCGCTGCGGGCCTGTCTCCTCCCAGGTCCTCTTCTCCGCAGGACGCTCTCCCTGTGCTTCCAGCTCTGTCAGTGGACAGTGCGGGCACTTGGCATACTCACGAGTACGCAGCGTCTACACTAGGGGTGTCGAACTCAATCAGAGAAGGGGCCAAAATCTAAAATCCAGCCTAAATCGTGGGCCGAATGGTTTACTGAACAGTCATAAACTGTCATTGTGATGGAAACGCAGTGGAGTGCAGTGATGACAGCGCGGTGAGGGCCACATTGCAAGGCCTGGCGGGACGGATTTGGCCCGCGGGCCTTGTGTTTGACACATGTGGTCTACACTGTCGGCCCCAGGACACTGTCACCCCGAGGAGACTGCGTGCTGGCCAGCGTGGCTTCCTCTGCCTTCCCGTGGCAGCAACTACGCTCTCTCTCCGTAGACTTGCCTCTCGTGCGCATTGCATAGGCGTGGACTCACAGGCGTGGCCTTTCCTGTCTGGCTCTGTTCTCTGAGCACCATGTTTTCCAAGTTTGCCCCCTTGTGGCGTGAGCCAGTCCTTCCTTCCTTTTGAAGACTGAGTAATATTCTGTCGCTTGGAGGGGCCACAGGTGCTCACTGTCCTCTGGCGGTGGACACTCGGGCTGTTTCCACCTTTTGGCTGCTGTGAACATGCGCTGGCAAGTCAGTGGGCACCTGCCTTCAGCTCTCATGGGCGTACACCCGGGTGGCTGGGCTGGGCCCCATGGCAGTTCTCTGTTTAACGGCCTAAGGCCTGGGAACTGCCAGCGGCTTTGGTGATTGAATTGCTCAGCCTATAAGAACCACTGAGGACTTTTAGGACAGTGAGTCCTGCACACGCTGCTGGGGGAATCATCGGGGTTCTTGCTAGAACCTGGGCTATGGGGGAGCCGGTGGCAGAGGCCCTCGAGGGTCTCAAGGGAGAGGGCAAGGAGCTGGGTCAGGAGGAGAGGAGGGGTCAGGAGCTAGTCCCCCGGGCTGGGAGCAGGGTGAGGACAGTGAGTGCAGAATTGAAGGCAGCACTAAAAACTCAGTAATTAAGAGAAATAACATGTTTTGGGGGTTTGCTTTCGTTAAAAGTTTAAAGGAGAAAATTGTGGAGTCACATGCAGCTGCAAGAAATATACAGGGGCCCAGTGTGATCTTTTTATAAAAGGTGTCACCCAGTGATGGCATGTTACGCAAATCCATGTGAGAGAGTTGTGCATGTGCTAAATTCTACATGTTTTATTTCCTCCCACAGAGTCAGTTCAGAGCACACTCCCAGCACCCCTTTACAACCTCCCCTCCCCCCTCTCCCCTGGCAGCACTGCTCTGTCTCCACTTCTGAGCTCCTCATCCGCGTGGACCGCACCGATGTGCCTGGGACCCTCTGTTCTGCTCGGCACTGTGCGGGTCCTCCCCGGGCCCGGGCCTGCTGACGGACCCCCACAGAAGAGGTCCAGGAAGGGCGCCGTGGACACTCGGGGACAGGTTCCTGTGTGGGTGCAGACTCATCTCTGGATACACGCTGGGTGCAGTCACTGGGCAGCCACCCCTAACTGCCCTCCTATGGCAGTTGCATGTAAACAGTTGCCAATATTTTAGCAGTATTTTAAAGGAGCACAATCTTCCCTGGCGGGGTGCTCCTGGCTGGAGCACTATCTCCAAGCACCGAAAGGCTGTGGTTTTGATTCCTGGTAAGGGCACACACCTAGGTTACAGGTTTGATTCCTGGTTGGGGCATGTATGGGAGGCAACCGATTGATATTTATCTCACATCAATGTTTCTCTCTTTCTTGTTCTCTCTCAGATTATAAAAACACTAGAGGCCCGGTGCATGAAATTTGTGCACGGGGCGAGGGGTGTCCCT